CAGCACTCACAGCTAGACAAGCAGGCGAGGATTTAGGGTTTAGGTTTAGGGTTTGGGTATAGGGTTTAGGGTTTAGGGTAGAGGTCCTTGTGTCTGATGCTTAGGCACTGGGAGTTTATCCCACAGCTGCCTACTTTCGGCGGCTCGGATTCTCGGAAGTTCGAGCTGATGCATTACAACTTACAACTTTATGAAAAACTTGAACTAGCTGTGACAACGGCTTCTCATGCTAACCCTGATTATGACAAATACAAGACCAATGAAAGCTCATGAATATGCACGTATATGCAGTTACATGGGTGGCAGTATGCTTTTGGACGACAGTGGAGATAGAGCCCACATAAGAGGAGCCAGAATGGCAATAGAAATGGCGATGAACGTGGTGATGATACATGTCTGGCTTGCAAACCCAAATTTAAACCCTTAGCCCTAAACCCTAACCTATAGGATCCGGTGGAAGCCTTCCAAGTTCCCAAAGCCGCGCCAAACTTCCCCCCACTGCCAATGGAAGAGCAAACCCATCATCACAGTGTGTCGTCTTGCATAGGGAAGAGTCAGCGCAGCACGAGCAGTCACCGATTGCCCCGCGCATGAGACACACAACGTCTAGGGGCTTAGGGTTTAGGCATGTTTTCGATTTTCCTTCGACACAATGACGGGCTTACAGGGTACTGCAGTCACTCCCTACGACGACTCTGGTTGTCAACACCTTGGGGCTCTGGTTCAAGCCTTTCGGTGATCGAGAAGAGTTGCAAATAATCCTCAAGCTCACCCCGAACCGAACCCCAAAACAAATCGCATCCCCTAAACCCTAAACCCTAAAGCCCTAAAGCACCTATCCAATCTAAACCTTATCCGAGTCTCACAGGAGCAAGGCGAGAGAATTACCACCTTTACTTTCCTACAGCTCAGGGTTTAGGGTTATGCTATAGTTGCTATAGACATAGATAGATAGAAAGATAGATAGATAGATAAATAGATAGATAGATAAATAGTTAAAAAGATAGGCAGACAGATAGACAGATAGATAGATAGATTGATAGATAAATAGAAAGACAGATAGGTAGGTAGGTAGGTAGGTAGGTAGGTAGGTAGGTAGGGAGGGAGGGGAGGTAGGTAGGTAGGTAGGTAGGTAGGTAAATGGATAAATGGATGGATAGTTAAATTAGATAAATAGATAGATAGATAGATAGATAGATAGATATAGGTGGGTAGATAGATAGAAAGATGAACAGATAAATAGACAGATAGATAGATGGATAGATAAACAAACAGACAGATAGGCAGTTGGGTCGGTAGGTAGGTAGAAAGGTAGATAGGCAGACAGGCAGGTAAGTAGATAGGTGTATGTATACACATATACATATATATATATATATATGTGTGTGTGTGTGTGTGTGTATATATATATATACATGCACGTGTATGTGTGTGTGTGTGTGTGTCTGGAATTATGTGTTTGTTGATTAATATATTCAACTGAATCCCTAAACCCAAAGCCCTAAACACCAGACCCCAAACCCTAGACCCGAAACCTTAAACACCAGACCCCCAAACCCTAAACCCCAAACCCCAAACGCCAGACCCTAAACCCTTTTTGCAGCAGGCTTCTCTCGCCCGGAAAACCCTAAACCTAAACCCGAAACCCCACACCCAAAACCCTAGACCCCAAACCCCACACCCCAAAAGCCCCAGACCCTTATCAAACCCTAAACCCTAAACCCTAAACCCTAAACCCTGAAAAGCCCCAGACCCTAATCAACAAGCTGGGCCGGGAGGCTCCAGGAGGCAGCGGCACTCCGGCGCGCCCCGGGGCCCAAAGGCGCTGGAGAAGGGAGCAGTCGCCCAAAACCTGGCATGAGCGTTTAGGATTTAGGGTTTAGGGTTTAGGGTTTAGGGTTTAGTGGGGGCAAAAAGTGGTGCTAGAGCTTTTTCAGGGTTTGGGGCTTTAGGCCTTTTTTGGAGCTTAGAGTTTTGGGTTACGTTAAGTGCTTGTTGGGAGCCTTTCTTGTCTCCAGCAGAATCAAGTGCCAATTTGGCCGGGGGGTTGAAGGCTTATGCACGGGTTTAGGTTTAGGGTCTAGGTTTTAGGCTTTAGTTTAGGGTGTCGGGTAAGGGTATGTCAAGGTTCGGGTTAAGCACATTTTCAAAGGACCAGTTCAAGCCGTCAAGACTCAGCCTCAGAGTTTGTTTCTGGCAATGGGTTCAGCGTTTCAGGGCTTTCAAACTTTGTTCAGGGACCCTTTTTACACAGGCTTGATTGGAGCTCGCCCGGCCAATTTCCCTCGCCCCGAACCCTAAACCCTTAAACCTTGAACGCCGTGTTCGGGTTGCTAGGTCTGATCGAAAGTTGCTACGATTCGGGGAGAACGATTTTTTGTGGTTACAGTACCCAAACCTCACTCGGGTTCAGACGATTCAGAATTTGGGACTGGGGTTCGGGTTTTGGGGTTGCGGTGTTGGGCTTAGGGGTCAAAGGCTTCGGGGTTTGGAGCGCGAGGCAAACCGCCGACATGTGTTGAGTACTTTGGCTTGCATAGAGGGGCTGCAAGCTCAGACACTGGACAACATCTGGTTAAACTGTTTTGAGACCACGAGCACCCTGTTCAGCAGAGAATCCTAAGCTCCAGAAAACTCCGAAAACCGACACATTTAGCCCGAAAGTGCCGGATCCTGCTTGATGCTGGCCAAGCAGCGCCAGCTGCCTGTTCCAGTGGACATCCTAGCCTGGGGCGACTCGCGTTTCGAGGCGGGTTAGAGTCGGTTTGGGTTTTTGATTACCGGCATCCCCCAACGGAGGTTCGAATGTACATTCGAGTAATTGTGCACAATGAAAAAGACATCAAAACTACCTCAGGGGGAAACCCAATCAACAAGCTAGGAGCAGGGCTAACAATTGTAGCTGCCTTGCTTCGGCGAGCAGTTGAGGGCCCCGGGCACTGAGCTAAGCGGTCTGGAGCGTCTCCATGATTGGAGCGGCTTCAAAAGATTGATGGGCCCCTTCGTGGACTAATTCGTTTGTATTCGGGCCCCACTCCCATCTCATAACGATTGCAACGGTACGTCCTTCCATGTCTTCTCTAGGAAACTCCTCCCAAAATCTTGGGCAGGAGCTCGCCCCGTCGGAAGGTCCACTTGGCGATGCTCTTGTCCAGGCAGGGCAAAGGTCTGGGCAGTAAGGGATGGAAAGGTGCGGTTGCTGCGAAGCCTGGTCACCTACACAGGTCGACGGTCTCCTTCAAGTGCTTGCGAAGTAGGTAGGCACGTCTTTGCAGACTTGCACGCCCTGACCTCCGCGTTAAGTTTAAGCCCGGGGTTTCAACAGACGAAGCATGCAAGCGTAAACCCCAAATAGCCCTAATTGGTAGCAGCACAAGGGTAGCTTAGTAAAGTACCTTTTCAACCACCCAGAGACTCCAAACCCCCTTAATTAAGGAATATACCTTAGATTATAATAGGAACCCTAGTAAGATTTAAGGTATATTCCTTAATTAAAGGGTTTTGGAGTCTCTGGGCACATCCCCCTCCCAGCTGGGGCGGCGTCAGGCTGCACAAGGTGTAGCGACCTCAGCTCTGGGACGTCTTGATGCGCTCTTCGGGTTCAGGGTTCAGGGCTCAGGCTCAAGGGTTTAAGGTTTTTTTTGCCTCCTACATGGCTGAGCGAGTCGCGAAGTAGGGTCCAAGG